AATTAACGCTGCAATAATGCAGCTATGGATGCAACGCATGCAGCTACGGATGCAGGAATCTCCCAGCATGGATGCAACGCATGCATGAGGGATAGGTTTAAAGATTGGTCGCGATGCAGGAATCTCCCAGCTATGGTGGAGGAATCTCCCAGAGCTTGGTCGCCGGGACTCCATGGCGACCTACCATGTCGCCGGACTACACCCCACGTGCATAGCCCATGCACAGCTTCCGCTCCCACATGCCCCGTGCATGGCGACCTACGACATAGCAAAGAGAATCACGAGAACGTTGGACGCCATTCACGTGAATAATTAACGCCGAGCTTGTATGGCGACCTATAAGGACGCTGGGCTTGCATGGCGACCTATAAAGACGCCGGGTGTGCAGGGCGACCTATAAGGACGCCGGGTGTGCATGGCGACCTATAAGGACGTCGGGTGTGCATGGCGACCTATGTTGGTTCGTCTGGATGCTGCCACGTCATAGGTCGCCTGGATGGCATGGCGACCTACGGCCATCACTGTAGAATTTACCCCATTTGAGCAATTAATCTGAGCACTGCATTATCTTGTGAAATAAAAACTTCGAGAGCATTATCTCATTGATTTTACCCCTGGATATCTGATATAAAATTTTGTTTTTTTTATTAAAATTATTTTGATTTATTTATGTTTGTTTAACGAGTTAAATGATTAAATATAACGAGATTTTGAAGTCTGATGATTTCACGATTAAATATAAATATAACATCATCATTTATTTTCTCACGTAGCTCGATTCTGATTTACGATTTGTCGATGGTTTTTTTAGTAGTTTCATTCCTTTTTGTGGTTCGTTTGTTGATGCAATCAAATTTGTTTGTATATTTATTTTGTTCGAGCTTTTTGGTTATGCTTTTTAATCTTTTAATTCTTTGGTTTTTATGTGATCCAGATGGCTAGTTTTTGTCTCCATCGTAATAGTAAAATGTCATAATTATATTTTAGGTTTACGACTATACTTGTAAATCTTCGTTGTAATTTTAGATATTTTTTATTTTTAATAAAACAAGCAACTTTTTATAATAAATAAATAAATCTTTTTAATTATTTTAAGTTTGTTTATTAAATTATTTAGTGTTTGATTAATACGTAAATTAACGATAAAATATAATTGTTTGTATGCTTATTTTATATATGATTATTACATTTATATCTTAAAAATAATATATATGTATATCTATCTATAAAAGTGTAAAGTTCAAATAAACTATTTACAATTTAACATTGAGTTAAAACGTTCTTTATAATTTTAAATTAATAAAATTACTTTATATAAATATGACATTTTATCATTAAATCACAAATTATCTCCTAAACTTTAGCTGCTTAATTTCATTAAATTATCTTCTAAAGTATTCATAAGATGTAACCCAAAAAAATGTGACACAAGATGACCCCTAGAATTAATAATATTATTTTTTTAATACTCTATCGACGTAGATAACTAATGTGCTGACATTATCAACATATGAGAAAAGTCGAAACTTCGTTTTTAGAAGCTGAAGTTTAATCTAATTTTTGTCATGATTTCAAAGTTCTTTTAAATAAGTCACACATTATCTCTTTAATTAAAAGTGTTAAAATTATAAGTATGAATCAATAATACTTAAACAAGTGCGATTAATTTTTTTGTTAATTTAGTGGAATGAGACACTACATCCCTTAAGTAAAGTCAGAGGTTCAAATCTTGTTGTTTGCGAATAAAACAAATTTGATTGGGAGCGTCGTCATCGCCTCTATAGTACTCGATTTGGATTAGTCGATTAATAGATTAGATGTCGATAATTATACCAAGAAAATGTATTTGGTACCTAGTTGCACTAAAGAAAAAAAATTAAGTATCTACTTGCACCAAAGAAAATGTGGTACCACATTGCACATAAATGTCAAAGCTATTGGGCTTTCTTTTACCTAAATATCACCCTAAATAAAATTTTATGAATTAAGATTAATTTTATATTAATTTTATATTAATTTTCATACTGACATTTTTTAATATCACATAAGGTAACACGCTTACATACGCAACAACACAATTATAAGAGTTTGTAAAAGAATAACCAAAAGTAAAGAAAATAGAGGGGAAATGCCAAAAAAATGTATTAATTCGGTTAAAAAGAAGGAATGCACACATTCTATGTTAAAGATTTGTGCTTCACAAGCACAAGTTAAGCCGACGATGATATACATATATATAGATATTATTTTAATCACTCAATGAGTACATGTCTAAAAATTTATATTTTAGAATAATCACATTTGATTTGTTGACCAAACTGTTCATCTTTATTCCCTCGTAAAATGAGAGAGAGAAGGGGAGGGGAGAGAGAGAGAGAGTTAAATACTTAACAATAATGAATATTTAAACAATGTAAAATTTAATAATCTCATGCTAAAGTTATTGATTTTGAGTGTTAAAGAAATTTTTGAATATTTGGATCCTTAATATTTTAGAAGGCAACAAATGATAGAGAAATTCAATTATTCAAAACTTTCATTAAATGTCGTTATAATCAAGTTTGTAACATGTATTAAAGATGATACATAACTTATAGTTTAAATACAGAACTTATAGTTAAAATACAAAACGCATAATTTATCCTTATTTATAATATATGTTAATTTAAAAATTAATTTTTTAAGATGATATTTAAGTAAAAAGAAACTAAAATTAATATAAAATTTTTACCCATTCCGAAATTTTGTAGTTTAAATACATCTCTTAAAAGTTGAAGTTTAAAGTTTAGTTAATTTTCTTTTCTTTTTTTAAATTTTAGTAATTGCCACGCATTCAAACTCACGCACACATATAAAGTGATTGCTAATTTGCTAGTTACGAAAACATTTAATTTTAATTTTTTAGGGTCCACATAATTATTGTGGTTATAAATATTCCCTTAATTTCATATAAACAATAAGTACTTGTTAATGTTCCTGTTACTAACATTTATCATACCAAGCTTATATAGGTTACTTTATATATAAAAAAAACTTAAAACTTGAGGAATTATATATTTTATGACTATTATGATCGGAATTATTGACATATTAAATTTTAAAATATTTTAATTAAATTTAATTTTTATATAATATTAAATTATTTTTTATCATCTTAATCGCTAATTTAAAAGTTAATTTTGGTTTGCTATTGGCCATGCTTAAAATATGTGATTAAAAGTTAAACATGCCTATGTTTCCGTGTAAATAATTTAATCTATCAAGTTAATCAAATTTTTAGACAAATTAAAATTAAAATTTTAATGATTTGTATTTGATTTGATTGTTTATTTTTTAAAATATTGAATTTAAATCATCTAAAGATAAAAGTCAATTAAATCAGATTTTTCTAGACACTCATAATACATACTAATATAATAAGTTATAAGCGTTAGGTGGTAGATGAAACAACGTCGTCGTCCGAACCTAAGTCAAACATCACTCCAACTACCTTATAAATGAAAGGGTAAACTACGTCAATGTTCACTAATGTTTGGGTAAATATTCGTTTTTATTATTAATGTTTGAAAAGTCACAAATCGATCACTAACGTTATCATTTGTTACAAAATGGTCACTTGATGTTAACAACCATTAATAAATCATTATTACAGTAACAGAATGCTGACGTGACACGTTAAACCAGCTGACTCAGTATGTTTGACCGACCGTTTGACTCTTCTTCTTCTTCTTTCTCCTCCTCCTCCGTCCTCCTGGAAGTGCTCCTTTGGTCACTTCAATACCTTTATCTAAATTTACTCCACTTCCAGTGAAACACACCACAATCTTCGGTAATAAAAAAAGAAACAAAAAAATTGTATGGTTGCAGAGGAACAACCAGGTTTCATGTATTCTACCAAAAAACAAATTCTTTGGTTTCATCAACTCACTAAAACCCTAAATTTCTAAGCACAAGCATCTTCTTTCTCTTCAACATTATGATAATATGCTATTGCTTTTTTTTTTAACTTTATTCCCTTTTAATGAGCTTTTCTACTCTTAAACGAAAGAATATGTTCACTTGGAGTTTCTTTAATTGTTTACATTTTTATTGATCTTCTATTTTTATTGCTTTCGTTAGAAAAGATTATAATCTTCAAATGATTGAGTAACTGAAAGCAACAAGCTAGTGAATGTTAAAGTTTTTTTTCCTTATGTTCTTCTCATGGGGAATTGTGGTGTTTGAAAGGAAGTTAAGATTCTTTGAATCAATTATTTTTAATGCAAAGTTATGATTTTATACGAAGAATTGATGTTACAATTGTATTTTTTAGGGTTCATATGAAGTGAGGTGATCAATGAGATGGCTACAATATCATTAGTAGCTAGAAATTGTGGAAGAGAGAGGAGTTGAAGATGGAAGGTTTGAGTTCAGGTTAAACTCATATTTTAGGAATGAGTTTTTGGCTAGTGAATTGCTTAATATAGTTCATTTAGAAAAGCAGTCTGGTATGGGTCAAAAGCTTTAAAAGGTTCCATGAATGAAAAGGGGGGAGGTTTAGTGTTGTTGCAAAAGTTAATAATGTGATGTATTTCACCAGAAGTGGAGTAAATTTAGATGAAGGCATTGAACTGACCAAAGGAGCACCTCCAAGAGGAGGAGGAGAGTCAAACGACCTGTCAAACATGCTGAGTTAGTTGGTTTGACGTGTCACGTCAGCATTCCGTTACTGTAGTAATGATTTTGTACGGTTGTTATCATCGAGTGACCATTTTGTAACAAACGATAATGTTAGTGACCAATTTGTGACTTTTCAACCATTAGTGGTGAAAACAAACATTTACCTAAACATTAGTGACCGTTGGTGTAGTTTATCCTAAATGAAATTACGAAATGGGTAAAAAGCCGAAGCCCATGCTGTCATCTTCATCCTATGTATGAGAGCGTCGTACACGTACAAGGTAACATGGCCAGGCGACGCTCCTTCCTTGCATTAACAAGAACAAAATGAGCTATAGTTAGTGAAATATTCCAACATAGTATGTTGAAACAAGAGGAGGAGGAGCACCACTGACGGCGGCACATTCCATACTCACCACGCATTCTATTCAAAGCCACACACATTAACCCAAGATAGAAGATCATAAAAAAAGCAAATATAACACTGTAATATACCCCCCCCCCCCAAAAAAAACAGTAAACAAGGAACACGGAATTCCGTTTTCTCGTTAATTTCCCCCCAAACACACACACCAGAGAAATATCAGGGTTGTCTGAGATCCGATCGTTCTGCCAGGATGTCTTGTTCCTTGTCATCGGGCTCTGAGGAAGAAGACGAGGGAGTTGACTCTTACCGGAAAGGAGGGTACCATGCCGTGCGGATCGGTGATCCTTTCGCTTCCGGTCGTTACATCGCCCAGAGGAAACTTGGGTGGGGTCAGTTCTCCACTGTTTGGCTCACTTACGATACTCAGGCCTCTGTATGTCCCTCTATTCTCCCGTTTCTATATCTTTCTGTTATGTACGTGTTATTATCCGTTTCAATTCTTATTCCCGGTTTCTTGGGATCGGCAATCGATGTTTAATTATAATTATTTTACCACAAGTATATATGATCAGATGTGACTAAAACTTAGAAAAAAAGAAACCTGATCTGGAATTTGGATTCTGAAATAGCGTTTTTTTATGTGTGAGTTGGGAAAATCTTTGCTCTTGTAATCGTGTGCTACCTCTTGATGAATGATGTTGGGTCTTGGAAGATTTCTTTTCTTAGAGGCGGTCATCTAAACCGTTTTCTGTTTTAAACCCAGAAATATGTTGCTTTAAAGATTCAGAAGAGCGCACAACAGTTTGCACAAGCTGCCGTTCATGAGATTGAAGTCCTTTGTGCAATTGCTGATGGAGATCCTTCAAACTCCAAGTGGGTGGTGCGCCTCATTGACCATTTTAAGCACTCTGGCCCGAACGGGCACCATCTATGCATGGTCCTTGAATTCCTTGGTGATAGCTTACTTCAATTAATCAAGTTTAGCCGTTACAAAGGACTTGAGTTGAATAAAGTTAGGGAGATCTGCAAATGTGTTCTATTAGCTCTGGATTACTTGCATAGGAAGCTTGGTATAATCCACACTGACCTAAAACCTGAAAATATTCTTCTCTGTTCCACCATTGATCCAGCCAAGGATCCAATTAGATCTGGTCTTACTCCAATCCTTGAAAGACCTGAGGGGGGCACCCTAAATGGCGGGTCTACCATGAACCTCATTGAGAAAAAGTTGAAACGGAGGGCAAAACGGGCAGTTGCAAATATATCCGGTAGAAGAGATTCAATGGGAGGAGAAGCTCGAAAACCTGAAAGATGTCTTGATGGGATTGATATGAGGTGCAAGGTTGTGGACTTCGGAAACGCATGTTGGGCTGACAAACGTTTTGCAGAAGAAATTCAAACAAGGCAGTATAGAGCTCCTGAGGTCATACTTCAATCTGGGTATTCCTTTTCCGTTGATATGTGGTCATTTGCTTGCATCGCCTTTGAGCTTGCTACTGGTGACATGATGTTTGCTCCTAAAACTGGAGAAGGTTTTAGTGAAGATGAGGTACGACTATACTATGCATCACGGTTTTGAAATTGTCTTTCCTTGTCCTAATTTTGCAGGGTCTGTTCTTGGAAATAGGAATAGATAGTAACACAATAATGAAAACAATGTGTTCAAATTTAATGGCATGATGCTTGGTTAGATCATCATAGTTCTTCACCTACTCTTTGGGTATTTTACTTGCATTGAAGCTGTTAATCTGTTATAGTAATGCTTTTATACTTCTCCTCTTATCCTGCCAGTACAGTATTTCATTTCTTCTGGTTGTCATACCAGAAAAGAGCTATAAACAAGAACTGTTCTGAGTAGAACGCAGGCCTGCATCATAACAATTACGTTGTTTTTATTTAAGTCAAACCAAATTAGATTTTCATATATATCATGAAGTGTGTCCTGGTTCTAATCTAACAGAGTTATAGATTTAGTTATTGCCTTTGATTAGCATATTACTATGAATATATATGCCTACTATTTCGTTATCATTATCATCATTTGTTTGTTTGTTTATGGGTTTTTATAGTCATAATGACCTTTTATATAGAAAAGTGATAAAGGACCTCCGGTAATAACATTTTCGGTTGCTTCCAGGATCACCTAGCTCTCATGATGGAACTTCTTGGAAAGATGCCACGGAAGGTGAAATGATTTCTATACTAATGCCCTTTCCTATTTAGAAAAGTGTGACGCAAATGTTAATTTATGTTTGCGCAAGCAGATTGCTGTTGGAGGAGCTCGATCAAAAGATTTTTTTGACAGGCATGGTGATCTGAAGAGGATTCGAAGACTGAAGTTCTTGCCACTCGATCGATTGTTGATGACTAAATACAAATTCGCCGAGACTGATGCTCGTGAATTTCTGGGGTTTCTTTCCCCTTGTCTTGATTTTTCACCAGAGAAAAGACCAACTGCCCAGCAGTGTCTGCAACACCCATGGCTGAATCTTAAGAGCTCAGATGGGCAATCTAAGGTGGACGCTGGAATGAGGAAACTTAAGATTTAAGGTGGGCAAAGAGAAGGGATTGAAGATCCCTCCCTCCACCTGTACGACTATTGATTGTGTTGTTTTAATTGTTTTATTTTTTGGGTTGTGACATTTACAATAAGCTTCTTCCTTTTCCTTCTTTTTTTGGTTAACAAAAGTAACAACTATCATGAGGAAATGACACGAGTGTTTAACTGCGGATACTGAATGTGGTCTGGTCAAATTGTTACTTTTAGTACAAGTTACATATTAGGAAATTTTATTACAAGCTATTCTGATGAAAGTATTGAAATCACATATGTAAGCCTTCAAAGTGTTGAATGAATCCTTTATTTCTTCATGTGTGCTTTGCCATTCTCCTTGTAGTAGAAAGGGGTGCTTATAAGGTTTTTCCAACATGCTGGTTTCAGCTTTATTTCCATAATTTGATGAAGAGTTTGAACTTCATCGATATCCTTCATTAGGTTATGAAGTGTTAAATGGGAGATGAACTTTAGAATGAAAATAAATTATAAGTAGCAAATACATAAAATAGAAAAAAAAATCTAAAATACATGCTAATTTTTGAAATTTTCAAGAAGAGATTGTCTCCGGCCGCCCACTTGATCCATCCATGAAGACGAGGAATTTCATACAGCCTTATTATAGAATAAAAGGGAACAACCATAAAAGAAAATAGATGAGCTGAGAAGGAAAAAAAAAATGAATCAACCGCTGAAATAACAATACCGAGGGCATTCAAGTTTCGGTACATGTAGAATCATCCAGGGACGCAGGATGAATATGCAAAAATAGAAAAGAAGAAAGGAGTCATCTAAATTCATTGCATTCATCTGTATCTCAAATCCAAATACTGCTATCGTTCTATGTAGCAAGCTCTATCAGTAAAGTGTGGAGGCAACAATTGAACATTCAAATATACATTCTGTCAATTCAACTTCCTTACAAAAACAGTAACAAGCACAGGGATAAATGGGTAAAGTCGTTCCTAATTTCCTATAAAAAGCGAATTTCGAATCCTACCTCAGCTACTAACTTCAATCAATGAAGCCACCTGTTACAAGAACAGGGTTTGAACACTATGATTGCATGACTTTGTTTGTTTGATACATACAGGGGCCTTGAAGTCCTGGCATTTCCGCATAGATGCACCTTCAATTGAAATAACACCACCACCAGAGGGATCCAAAGTAAAAAAGTTCTTAACAGCAGCAGTTGAATTATCCATGTTCTTTTCGGTCAATGGAGAGCTCTTACTAATCATCTCTTCCTTTGGATTCACTTGATCCCTAAAGGAACAAATGCTCAAGGGCAGCCTCTTTAGCTTCATTCTTCCCCTCTTCTTACCAGGGGTAACATCCTCAAAGGCTTTTCCCTTCGAATGGCTTGATTTTGCTTCACCATTATCAAGCTCTGATTGCACAGATTTTTCATGGTTAGAACCCTTTGCCTTTGCTTTAACGGATTCCTCCATGGAGTCCTCGGAAACAATTTTGCCTGCTATAGTACCTACATGGAGTCCTCCATGAGTTTGCATGACCTTAGGCCTCTTATGTTTATGACCTCTCCATTCAGTTGAAGAATTTTTTGAGATTCTCGGGGAACTGTTGATATCTCGGTGCAATTTCCGGGCTAATTCTTCATCTGTCCTAGGACTCCCAATTGGTTCATTTTTTTTATACAAGAGTTGGACAGGGACATGTTTCTTGAGCTTATTCTTTTTTAGGTGTCTTTCCTTGTTAACTGTTTCTTCAGAAAATTTTGCTGCAATGTCCAATGCACTCTTAGCTGCTGCAACAGCTTTGGCAGCGATTGCAGCCTTCTCCTCTGCAGCAGCTCTGGCAGCCTCTGCAGTTTTAGCAGCTGAGATAGCTGCCGCTCTCGAGGCCTCCAAAATCTCCTCGGGAGAAAGATTTGGGTTGTACAAATGGGAACTCATCAATAGATTTTTAAGATGAGCATTAATATCGCTTGACGAAGTAGAAGGTGAAGGTGAGTGTGAAGCTGGGGGCGATGACGAGGAAGAAGCAACGGTGGGCTGATCTGAAGCACTATTGGCATTGGAAGCCTGTTTCTTAAGTCCCGCCAGCAGCCGCTTCCGAGGAGGCAGAAGGACATCAGCATCCAAGTGATTGATGTCATAAATGTTATCCTCCATCGACATCCCTTCCCCGATTTATTAAAATCTGAAACATCAAAGCAGGAGTAATTTTCTATATAGATAATCAAAACGTTTTTATCACATCCACGCTAAAACAGCAATACTCATAGATTCCAGATGTTAAATGCTAAACAAAACCCAGAATAAAATCTGAATTCTCAAGTCATAATAATAATTAACAATAAATAGTAAATATCCATCAAATTTAGAAAGAACAGCGCACAGATTTGGAAAGTAGCATAAATTCAAGCGGTTCTAACACATGAATCAGAATTGAAAGAGCTTTCACGTGCTTAAATGACACAAAGAAGGAAAAATTGAAAACCCTACCGGTAAATTCGGTTATATAAGAGCTTCCGATTAAAATCAGAAGAACAATAAAGATAGGAAGTCAACAAAAAGATCATCATGCAATGAAAAATGAATTGTCAAGTTTAAAGATCACAACGGGAAACAGATGGTAACAATGAGAGCAGGAAAATTCAAACGTAAAAAATAGGGCGATCGATAAAAGAAAAAGAGAGAATTACAGGAACATGAAGCCAGAATGCAAAGCAGAAGCTTAGATTGAATGGAATTATGGAATGCAAATGACAACAGAGTGAATTCCAAAAGAAGAAAAAGGATGGATTTTGGATTCAATACCTGATCATTTACGCGTGGGGTTTGGATTGGATTGCAGAAAGATGATTTAAGAGATTTGAGAGGAAGGAAATTAGGTTTTTTTTTTTGTTGATATTTATTATATATATATATATATATAGGGTATACATATTACATTGGTGTTGGTTTTGAAGAAGAGGGTCCGAGGAGAAAGAAAAGTGAAAACGAAGATCTTGTGGCGTCTTACTAATTACTATGCTAATGTCTATTCATGGTTTATTCTTTTTCTAGTCCCTATACTCTATAACTTTTAAAATTTGGTCCCTAGAATTTAGTCTACAACAATTTTTTATTTAATAATTGAATTTCAATTGATAGCATTGATAAAATATTTCACTTGTGATATTTCTAACATAAAAAGACTATATGATCAATAGTAAATACGTGGAAGAAAAGTGAAAAAGCATTGTATCTAAGGTGATATGCTGATTTTTTCCCAACAACAAGAACAAATGAAAGATATATAACATGCTGATTTGGACATACTAAATAGTAACATCAACATGCAGGCTCACGTAAATGCTATTGAAATTTTTGGCAGTATGATTAACTCTAGTTATTGTTCTCTTTTGCAGCATGCTGCAGATGAAAGAAGAAAACTAGAATAACTTTGTCACATAGTATAAGTATTCTGAAGTTCAAATTTGTGGAAGTAGGGATTTTTGCTACTAATTTGATATGTCGAAAACGAGGTCTTATCCGGTGAAGGGAAGCCAGTCACCTATTTGGATACAGAGAAAGAGATGGTATGCCTAGTTTGATGTTATGAAGCTGGTGCTGTATGATTTCTAGGTTTAACTTATTAGTTGTTAAATAACGGATCCTGCCAGAGATGGGGCATCAGTCACTGCACAATTGTTCAAAGATGTATTTCTGGCTCTGTTGGAAAAGTTGTTAAAATTATCCCTTTTTATCATATTTTGTAGGAAAAGTTAGACACTCATCCCTGCAAATATTTTCCATATCCTTGTTTGCCTATCATGCAAATTCAAGTTTGTCTTTTGTGCTCAGTTGAACTTTGATGTCAATGAAGTTTTATGTGGATAACATGCAGATACCCTTGCATTTTAGGTGTCAAATGTTGATCTCTTGGAATTTCTTCACCAGGTAATACATGGTTTGTTTCTTATGAGAACATTTACATCCTACATCTCCTTTCCCTTTTACTTGTTGGTAAAGGTATTTAATTTCTAACCCTTAGTTTGTATTTATGATATGTTGTCGGCTGGAATCCATTGAGTGGCCTCATTGGTAAGAGGGTGTGTTGTTCTCCTTAAAGGTCTTGAGTTCCAACATGTGTCTGTAGGGTGTGCGCGCGTTGTAATCACCCTAGACTATTAAAAAATACATGTATTGCTAGTTGATACAGATGGATCATCAACAATCCATCCTGCTATGAGTCCTTGGCCCTTTTCTTTCCCTTTGATATATTCTAAACTCATAGGGTGATTGTAGATAATCAACCGAATATTATTCTATTTGTCTTTACAGCAAATAGCACATAAAGAAATATTGCAACCATTATACTATATTTGTAATTCTTCTCCATGCATTGTTCTTTGATGTTTTCTTTAAGGATTAAAATGCCGGCCTCTCGCTCAATCTCTGTCATCCCAAAGTGCAATTAGAATCATATCCCTTCCTACTTTGATGTGGCAGGTTCTAATCGTTTTCTTGGTGCCTTGTGAAGAAGGCATAAAAACTTAAGGATCAGGACTCTTGTTTAACATGATCATACAATCATGCCATACTGAAAATTAAACCGATCATTTTTCCATCCATGTATACACGTATCGGCCTCAACGGCAGAATGTTATTCTCTCACTCTGAAAGAAGTGAACACTGGTTATTGCTCCTAGTTAAATTCTCAATACAATTTCCCTGTTTGCAAATGGTATAGTAAACCCTAAACCTACAACCCATTTGGATATTAAATGAAACAAACCAAAAAAAGGGGGGAACACAACAGACAAACAAAAGCTATCTTGTTTGATTGAGTTGGAAAGGTCCTCCACAGTTTATTTCCTTTTGCAACAGATAACTTGATGATAATCTCTTAATGCTTATCCTCTTCTACAAGAATGGACTAGTTTGTTTTAACTCTAATGAGAACGCATTTTCCTCTACCTCTTCCACTACACTTGCAGCAAGCAATCCAGATGTATTCTTTGCTAATTGATGTGTTTCAATATATTTCTTTTTTGTACTTTCACGGCCTTGAAATCAACCCTCTTCACCTTCCCCACATGTGATTCGACTTTCTTTGTTCTCCATGCTGGCACACAAGACCTTCCATACAGGAAGCAACATCTTCATCGGAGGGCGTAGTTCCTTCACACAACCAAGTTTCATGCCTCAATTAAACCAGAAACTACTACGTTAGCTATATGACAACACACACACCCTGCACAATTCTCGTATTACTTGATATCCTCACAATAAGTGATTTTTCTATCCTGTTTAGATATAGCAGCAGCATATATTCCCCCCCCCCCCACCCCCACCCCCAACACACAAACCCATATTTTCCAAAGGAGTAACAAAGAATGAAATTCTGTTGTTTTACCTTGAACACCAACACCTGCTCTTCCTTCCCACGCACAAGTAAAGAGAGGCTCCAGTAACAAGTTACTGGGGTAACGCATTCTAATAATACATGTTTCAAAATCTCTCCGGCAGGAATAAATCTGCGGATGATTCTTCCACTAGAGCAAAGTAAACAAACAAAAGAAGATGAAATAATAACATTGGTTATGGTGCTATTACAACTACTATTTTGCAAAATTTCGTGAACAAAAAAATCTCAAGGATTTATTTATGAATATTGATTAAACATAAGAAAGAAGAATGAGCTAGCCTATTGAGGGAAAGCTAGAAATGCCTGAGAACCACTTGCAACTCCAGGAGAGTGCAATGTGAAATGCTAAAATTGGATGGAAGAACAACAAAGCCCTAATACCGAGTAACACTCTAGATCTTATGAAACAGTGACAACAGACATTTCCCTTCTTACCTACAATCTTATTTTATGATTAAAAGAGGAAGTTTGAAAATCAAGTCAGGAAAATCATATGATTCATGGTATACAGTAGAACATGTAGCTACATGGGTATTTAACATTCATTATCAGAGAATTATAAGTTTTAGTATGTTACCTTGAATAGTGGGTTTCAAGCTGAACTCCAAAGGCTGGCATTATGATGACAGACTCTGAAAGCTTAAAAATAAAAAAAACTTGAGAGAAAAGATTAAAAAAACTTGCTGAATTGAAGAAAATAGCACATCGGATAACGAAGGCAACCAGCTGAAAAGACTCTCACCTTTGTGAACGGGGTTCCAAACCAATAATAATAAGACTGAGCAGCATTCTCCACAAAATAAGAGTTGCTGAAATTTCCTGTTATATAAATTCACTCAATGTATGAGATGCCAAAACCAGATAAGGGGAGTTAATTTCCAGGATATTGGTCATGAAGTAGAAAACCCATTTTAACAATACAAAATGAAAAAAAAATAATAAAAAAGGTTAAAGTTCCCATAATTTATGATTGACAATTCCTTACATCCCCAATAACTCATATTCAAAGACTCGTAGTACAAAAGAAAAGGAACAGTGAATTGATTCCAAACATATGAACATGTTACTAAAATAGGACGATTATTAAGAATAAATTCAGTCCAGACTCTAGAGTGCATACCTTGAAAGAGAGGAAAATGCAGGCAAATGGTAGAAGAAGAACAGCTACAAATACAGCCTTTCGAAGACTCTTTTTAACGATGTGAATATCAACTGACCCAGGAGGCCATTCACCTTTGTGTATGTAAGCCATTGAGATCCTCCCCATCCGGGTTTATTTATTTATTTATTTTTGTAAATGAAGATGTCCAAACCTTGAAAAAACGAGCTAGAGACAAACTTAAACGGTTACCAATTAAATAAATTCTTCAGACTGTAAATAGGTCCAATACTACGTCGACTCTGAGCTCCCGGCGGCGATGGCTGGAGGGGTGGTAGTGGCGGGAACCTTAGAGCGGTGGTTGAAGAAAACAATAAAGGGTAAACTACTCCAATGATCACTAAGTAAGTGTTCGTTTTTACCATTGATGTTTAAAAAGGTATAAATCGATTATTAACATTATCATTTGTTATAAAATGATCACTCGACATTAACAACTCTTAATAGGTTTGATGGAAAACACAGTTGAACCGTTATCTGCTAAGTTGGATCGTTGATCGACACTGCTGGACCATTTTGACCGAATCTTCTTATTCTTCAACTTCTTCCCCATCTTCTTCTTCTTTTCTTCTTCTTTACTTTTCTTCTTTATTCTTTCTCTTCCCCATCAAATATATAAACAAAAACAACAAATTATTATGTTAAAAATGTTATATATTAGTTTTTTTACAACAAAATGAAACCCTCAAAATGAATGAACCCAAGCACATTCAACTTGGATTTTCAAAGAAAAACTTGAGAATTAGAATCCTTTTTGTTTCTTTCTTAACAGTTTTTCTTTGAAAATCCAAGCCGAATATGCTTGGGTTCATTCATTTGGGGATTTCATTTTGTTGTAAAAAAATTAATAGATAACATTTCTTGCAGAATAATTTGTTGTTTTTGTTTATATATTTGATGGGGAAGAGAAAGAATGAAGAAGAAAAAGAAGAAGAAGGGGAACAGGTTGAAGAAGAAGAAGAAGAGCTGGTCAAAATGGTCCAACTGTGTCGGTCAACGATCCAACTCAGTAGTTTTTCTTTGAAAATCCAAGCTGAATGTGCTTGGGTTCAGTCATTTGGGGGTTTCATCTTGTTGTAAAAAAACTAATATATAACATTTTTAGCAGAATTATTTGTTGTTTTTGTTTATATATTTGATGAGGAAGAGAAAGAATGAAGAAGAAAAGTGAAGAAGATGGAGAACGGGTTGAAGAAGAAGAAAATTAGGTCAGAATGGTCCAGTTGTGTTCTTCAATGATCCAATTTAGCAGATAACGGTCTAGCTGTATTTTTCGTCACACCTATTAATGGTTGTTAACATCGAGTGACCATTTTGTAACAAACGATAACGTAGTGATTGATTTGTGAATTTTTAAACATCAGCGGTAAAAATGAACACTTACCCTAACATTAGTGACCATTGGCATAGTTTACCCAAAAATAAAAAGAAAGGATCTCCTTTGTTTCCTTTTTCTTTTAAAAAATGGTAAACTACACGTTTGGTAACTAAACTTTACTCTTTAAAATATTTTATTCATCGTACTCTTAATTTTTTTTTTCAATTTTCTCACTAAACAGTTTATAGATTGAATTTTTTATTACTTCATTGTTAAAAAATTAACGACATTATGAAATGATTGTATTTTAATCAAAATGATTTCATTTTAGTCTAAAATTTAATTTTTTTAGGAATTCAAAACAACTTCATTTTGATGTAAGTTGTCATGTCTTAAAGTCATTTAATTATTTAACGACGGAATGAAAAAAAAATTAATCTATAAAATTCAATGAATAAATTAAAAAAATAAAAGTACAATGAATGAAATAGAAGAGTAAATTCAATTACCAAATGTGTAATTTACCTTTAAAAAATTTACTGTATTAATTATCTATATACCTGTAAACACGAAGTAAAATCCCCATCCTCAAAATCTTTATTTCCTATATACTATAAAAGATTAGATTTAATGAAATTTTCGTTAAATTAAATCCATCGACGAAAAAGTATAAATTTAATAGATTTGTTAATTTTCAATTAATTTAATTTAATAAAAATAAAAATTAAAGAGTTAAAAATGAATAAATAAAATTTTGACTTTTTTTTTTGAAAATTTTAGTGTATGTTTGGTTCTAGAAAATATTGGCTATTTTCATTTTCTTAAAAATTAGAAAACCTTGAAGAAAACATGTTTGGTTGTAAATTAGAAAATGATTTCTTAAAAATGAAAAAAAGTAAGTGTAAATATAAAAAAGATATTTTTAGTATTTTCATTAAAATTGTTTTAGAAATTAAAAAAATAAGGAAATATGATATCTAGATTTTTAACTTACCTTTACACAGGTTTAACTTATTTTAACAATATTTTTTTAACTTAATGGTATTTGAAACTCTCAAACTTTTGTATAAAAAGATCAATATGATCCCATAACTTTTTACACTCAATGTAGTCCTTAAATAAAATTTTGATTAAAAATTTAATTTTTAGCATTTTTATATTTAATGTATTTAATATCTTAGAATTTTTTATATTTTATATTTTAATTGAAAGATTTTTTTATTTTTAAAAAAAATAAATAAGTCCTCAAACTTTCTAAAATAATCAATTAAGTCTACCTACCACATCATTGTCCATTGTATATTGTTACAATAATATCACGAATTGTTACATCAATATTGTATATTGTCATGCAAGTTTGTGAACTGTCATATAAGTGTCGTGGCAGTCAACGTTTGATTTTACTGTTCAAAGGATTAGATAAAATTTTTTCTAACCTTAACGATCATATTTGGTGCAAAAAACGTTTCGGGACTACATTAATTAACATATTTTTTATGTTAATGAAACTTTTATATGCTCTTACTTATAATAATACTTTTGTGTATTTTTTAAATTTAATCGATGTCCAATATGCATTCATATTATATTCTCATTATGAACTAAAATAAATTTTGGGCTATAGAATTTCTTATCAACTTTATTATTTTATATTTACATAACTCACATGTTAAATTTATATAATGATTTTTTAATAATTATAGTTTAATTTAATTATTTAATAATTATTTGTATATTTCTATTTTAAAAAATTAGATGCGAAATACAATTTTACTATTTTAGTTTTGGATTTAAGTTTTCATTTATATTAACCAAACATGTTTTCTAAATTTCAAAAAATTGAAAATAAAAACTAATTTCTGTGACCTTAAAGATTTTGATTCTAGAAAATATATGCTATTTTCATTTTCATTGTTTTAGAAAATAGAAAACATTAGAGAAAATATTTTTCACTATAAGATTAAAAAATGATTTTTGGAAAAAAAATAAGTAAAAATATGAAAACATAAAAAAGATGTTTTCAATATTTTATTCAATTTATTTAAAAAAAAAATAAAATAGGAAAACACGAAAGTTAGATTTTTAACTTAACTTACATGAGTTTAAATCTTTCTAACAACAACTTTTTGATTTAATGGTATCTAAAACCCTCATTTTTTGTAAAAATAATAAATGTAATTCATAAACTTTTTTACATTCAATATAGTCCTTAAATTATTTTTAATAATTTAATTTTATTATTTTTTTATATTTAATGTATTAAATATCTTAATAATTATTTATATTTTATTTTTAAATTTACATAATATCTTATTTAAAAAATAAGTTCTCAAGCTTTCTAAAAAATCAATTAGGCCCTCAAACTTAGTAAAGAATCAATTAAACTCATCTACCACAACATTGTCCGTCATGTACTGTCACAACAATATCACATCAACATTGTAGATTATCATGTAAGGTTTGTGAAATGTCATGTAAGCGTCCTAAAGGTTTGATTCTGTTAATCAAATGATTAAATAGATTTTTTTTTCTTTGTTTAAGGTTCATATTGAGTGCAAAAACAATTCAAGGGATAACTAGATTTTTTCCTCAAAAAATTGAGGATCTTAAAAACCACTAAATATATATTTTTATTTTAATGTGACTTTTTTGTGCTCTTTTTTACAATAATATTTTTATATTTCTTTATTTAATTGATGTCTCGTATGCATTAACATTATATTCTTATTATAAACTAAAATAATTTTTGTGCTATGAAATTTCTTATAAACTTTATTGTTTTATATTTGTATAACTCACATATTAAATTTATGTAATGAATTTTTAATAATTGTATTTTAATTTAATTATTTAATCACTATTTATTATTTATATTTTAAAATTAGATACCAAATATAATTTTCACCATTTTTATTTTGAATTCAAGATATCATTTATATTAACCAACCATGTTTTCTAATTTTCAAAAACCTAAAAAAAGAGTAGAAAATATTTTCTAAAACCAAACAAATCTTTATATTTTGTATGCTTGTACTCATTAGTCTAATCGATTAGGATATATGTACAATGATAATGTTGGTGTGCTTGATTGTTTTCTTATTTTTATTTTGGAGGGTACTAAAATAAAATTAAAATTAAATTTTTAGGTATGATTTTGAAAATTTTGAAAGTTTAGATACTAAAACGGACCAAAATGATAGTTTAAATACTAAATGTATAATTTACCATTTTTTTAATTTTTTTTGATTAAGTTAAAGCGATTATAAAGTAGGTTACTTTCTTCATTTTGGACCGTTGCAACTATCATATCCGACGGTTGATAAAAATTTTATAAACCTATAGGAAGTGACCATGCAAGTTTAACAAGAGTGTGTGTTACCCTGTTTCTTTCTCTCATCACACGTATAATCGTGAATTCTTAGCCAGGAATATGTCGATATGTTGTAGCATGGTGGCAGTCCAATTTTCAATTTTATGGAATATGTTTTCGTTTTATAAAAAAATATTTTTAAAATTTTATTAAAACAGTTATACTTCATAATTTCATAAAGGATTAGTTTAAGGTTGTTTCAAGTTGGATTAGGTTTAGGAGTTTTATGTTGGAGTCTAAATTTATATTAGCCTTTGTTTTAAACTGGCTGAAATTATTTTTATCAAAATTGTTTCAAATATCAGAGGAGATTTCAAGATTAAACAGATTGGCCAAACCTTGAAGGCAAAATGAAGTTATATTGTTCACAGTTTTAACTTTCTAACCAATATCCGAGGAAGCATCAATTTGCTCTTAACAACAATCAAGCATTTCTCATAATTTCATCGACAACCAAACACGTTACTGGAGTTGCTGGTTGTCTGATTTGTATCTCGTTGAGTTTTGTTATACTATTTTCTTCCAATATAGGTTTAAGGATGTTTTTAATGATACACGTAACTTAGGTTTTGAGTTTTTTAACTCTTAATAAAAATATATTTTCCTAACAAAAAAAAACCAAACACATTACTGGAGTTGTTCAATATTAACAAGGCATCAGAAAGGCACAAAATCCAAAGCCAAAACCACCGTTTCATCTCATGTTCAGTGTATGTAATAGCTTTACTATGTCAAATCTCACTCACCCTGCCATGCATGCTGGTCATAAATGTGGTAACTCCCGCCCAAGTAATTCAGCTGAGAGCTTATTTCTGGGTTCTGAAAGCACACGTCTTGTTCAGCCTGAGATGCCAGAAGATTCTCCGGCTTTGTCTTTGGCGACTCGACTTCGGTTTCAACCTCCGATTCGGCGGCATTATTGTTGGAGGAAGCAGCCACCACTTGCTTCCTTTTAGACCTAGCTCGTCTGTTTTGAAACCAGTTATACACATTGGTTTCAGAAATTTGGCCGTGTTGGCTTAGTTCTGAAGTTATCTCTTTGATCTTTTGCTTGCTTGGAGTTCCGGTTCCCTCATGGAATATGCGTTCAAGAATCTGAAGTTGCACGGCTGTTGGAGTCCACCGCTGCCTGGCACTGATTTTGTGCCCGCCTGTTGTCATTAAAGGGTCACAATACAGATTTCCCAGCCTCCCACCTGCCCCACAGAAGAGTTCATCAGTACCCTACATTGAGTTGAGTGTTACATAATGACTATGTCCACATTGGAAAAGGTTCAGGCTAGTGAAATAAATTATTATGATGGGGTATTTGCATTAATGGCTTCCACCTATACTGTTGTACAAATCATTCTTCTGATTTTGTTACTTTTTTCCTCAGAAGGCTGGCACCTAAAGTTAGGTGAATTTCTTACAAACAAAGAAAAGGTGGGGTTTATTAGATATTAGGATAAACTACACGTTTACGTTTAGTATTTTAACTATTACCTTTTTGCTTTTATTTTAGTCACCGTTAAAAAATTAACGGTGATATTGATGTGTCAATGTAAGAAAATTTCAAGCCATCATTGAAAGAAATAAAAAAAATACCACACTAGCAATTTTTTTAATTTTTCAATAGGGGTGGTAAAAATAAAACGAAAATGTAACGTTCGGTACGATTTAGAAAAAAATAGTTAGGTGATCAAAATGGAATAAAAGTGATAGATGAAATACTAAACGTGTAGTTTAACCTAGATATTATCTATTGTACTTGATAATGTTGATAATGTGAAAATAGATAAGCCTCAAATCTCAATGATCAATTGGTCCTGTGTTTAACATATTCTGCACCAACAAGAGAGCAGACAAGTGAACCGCCCTAACGAAATCAGAGCAGTGTTAACTTGTATGCAGGACAAAGATAAAAGCTAGAACCTCAACCCTTGAAAAACTGGAACAATCATCGACAAAAAGATGAGGTAAACAGAGGGGAATTCACAAGTTTCATGTAGATCCAAGGTAGATAACAAAAAGGAAAGGGGCATAAGAAAAACCTGTAAGGTCTTGGTGGGCAGTGAGGTTCTTGTGCATCTCGACAAGCTGCTCGCAGATGGAGGCATAAACAGCAATCTGTTTGCGGAGAGTCTCGAGCTGCTCATCGGTCATCACTTTGACATACATTACTCCATTTTCTTCCTTCTGGTTTTGGGGTTGACTCTCTTGCTGCTGCTGCTGCTGCTGATCCCATTCCATTATCATCATCTTAATTTTAACTCATCTCCAGCAACTCGGTTCACTCAAATCTGTCTTAAATTCTTTCTTTGTCTCCTGCGGAAGAATTGGGGGAGAGTGAGAGAGAGACTTTGAAAAGTGGAAGTATTAGTAGTAGGAAATGGACAAGCCGACAGATAAAGTGTAAACAAACAAGCTACAGCCCACACTAGTAGAATTATTTAATGTTGTGGTGGCTAATGCTATTCGCTAATGCAGCCTGGTGCGTAGTGCGCCTTGTATGCGTATGGTAGCAGCAACATGCGCCTCGTGGGTTGGGTTCATGGTATTTATTAAAATACTAGCACTCTGTTTGTTTTGTAGTATTATCTGTATACCAGAATCTGATAAATAATGACGGAACTGAAGAACGGAAAGAAATTTATAAAATCATAGGACTGACGGCTTGCTGATGCAGCTAGCTGTTGGTATTATAGGTAATAAACATGCAGAGAAACTAAAAGGACAACTGATTGTTAACTGCTATATGCCTATATAACATTCTGTCTATCTGTCGGAACCAAAATACGAGGCTTCTTACCATGCGCCATTGTTATCTGTCGGTATTAGTAAGATCAATAGCCTATTTAAAAATATTTTTCGATATAAATATATATACTAGATTTCACGTACCCATCTTAGGCACAAGCTGCACCCACCATAGGAGTGGCATGTGCATCCTCCATTAATTCAGGCGATGGATGAGACTGAAAGATGAGTAGTATTTTAGTTCCATTCCAGTTGTCTGTCCCTGAAGATATTCATTTTTTTCATTTAAATGTTATTTATATAATTATTATTATTATTATTATAATTATTATTATTTAATATTACAAAACCCAAATGGAGGCCTAATTATAAATGGGGGCTCAAATCCAGAAGCCCGTAATAAACCCTAACAGATTAGGGTTTCCCTCTTCCCCAGCCGCCTCAGCTTGCTACCGTTGTGGCAAGATCCAACGGTCCAGATGGTTCCAGCAGGAAACCCTAGGGTTATGATACCCTAGGGCCACGACGCCGGCCGCCTCTCTGACCCCTCCATCAACTGCTGCCACGCTTCAACAGAAACATCCAGAGGAAGCAAGGAACGCCATCCATGTTCCAACCATGGGGTGAGTCACCACCTACGGTTTGGTGACTCACCGAACTCCACCCTTCGGACCGGTCCGAGACGAGCACCGATGATGGCTATAAAGCCATCACCCAACCTGCAAAGAAGGGACCACGACAACAGAATGGAAAAAAAACCCAACAGAAAAAAAGAAAAAAGAAACAATAAGGAAAGAAAAGAGCGATCAAACCAGCAACTCCAAACGTCAAAATAAGCAAAGAGAAGACGGAGAAATACTTACCGAGGAAGCTGCAGCATCACTGGAACCTTCACTCGTCGTCGGAAACCTTCGAAAAACGAATGTATTTTCGTAGATTTGCTCCAATAGGGAATGTTTTAAGGGAAACGGTCATCGGAACCATCAATAGGATGGTCCGATCTACGTTTAGGTGTAAAAAAAAAATTTCCGGCCACCGGATGCGGTGGCCGGCGGTGTGGATTACGGCGGCAGACGGCTGCCGGCCGACGACCGGCTTCCCTCAGCTAGAGAGAGGCGAGAGAATTCTTCTCTCTCAGTTAGAGAGAGAAGAGAAAGGAAATAAATGAAGATGCTGGCCCTTCGGGCCAGCCGGTTGAAGGGATATATACCCCTTCCCAAACGACGCCGTTTAAGGGAGGGGTATATCCGTAATTTCCTTTTGGTTAAACCCTTTCCACAACCATCTTAATTTTGTAACATTCCATTTTAGTCACTAAATCAATTTATAATCCTTTTAATTCGGTTCTTTAATTTTAATTTTATTTATTTTAGTCCTTTGTATTAAAATAATATATTTAGGGTAAATAACAGATTTAATCCCTTAATTTTAATAATTAATATTTTAATCCCGAGTTTATATTTTTAATTTATTTTAATTTGATATTCGAATTTTAGATAAGTTTTATTTTAGTCACTAAATTAATAAAATAAGAAAATAGCATGTTTAATCCCTATAATTTTGATTAATTATGAATTAGGTTTTTAATTTTAATTTTACTATAATTTAGTCACTAATTTTAAATGTTTTCATTTATTTTACTGCTTTTAAATATATCGTTCTAATTGTATTTTTATTGTTTTAATTTTACTTGTTTATATATTTAAATATTTTTATTATTATTATGTAGTCATAAATATATATAATAAATAATAATTTATATTTTTTCAATAAATTATTTTAATATTTATTTTTCAATATCGAAGAAAAGGGCAGTCTTAATACAATTGGATGTCCTATTCTGGTATTTTAAAATTAAATATTATAAAAAATTATTATTTAATTTTATGTAAATTAATATTTATTAATATCAAAGAAAAGAGCTGTCTTAAGGCACCTAGAAGTCCTTTTCCGATATTTTTAAATAAATAAATATTTTTTATATAATTTTGAAATAATAGGATTATAAATTAAATATATTTTGAATTTTTAAAATTTTAATAATAGAGACAATTTATAATTAAAAAAGTACCAATTTTGGGCGTTGTAGGGGTGCTAATCCTTCCCTAAACGTAACCGACCACGAATCCCTTTTTATTATTAAAAAGAACGAATTTTTGGTTATAAACGCAGATCAGTTCATTTTTTATTTGATGTTTTCTTAAAACTCTTTTAAAAAATAATTTTTAGGTATTCGACCTACCTGACCCATAAGGCCGATGGCGACTCCCAAATTATTTTCAAAACCATTTATTCACATCAATTTTCCCGCCAAATAAATATTTCGTGCCTGGACGAAAACCGGTTACGACAGCTTGGCGACTCCGCTGGGGATTGGTCAAACTTTTAAAATCAATTATAAATTGTCTCTATTAATTATAAATTAAAAAATTCATATATTTGATTTATAATTCTTTCTTTTCAAAATTTTTTTTATATATACTTATTATTTTCATAGTATTTATATATTTTCTTATTAATATTTCATTTTATTTGCAAATATTTTATTTCATTATTTTTTCTGTCAGAGGTTTGAACATTTCTCCTCACACACAACACTTGCATTGCATAACATAAAGCTCTATAATTGAGTTTGTCCCTTTTAAGTGGGAGTGAAAGCGACGTCTTCGTGAGAATTTATTCTCCGTGTCAGACCTAGCAAGTAACTTTCAGGGTTCATATGCTCTATGTCTTCGTGAGAATTTATTCTCCGTGTCAGGCATAGAGAAATGTATCCCCTCGAATTGAACTCGATTCACTTTAGTCTGTGATGGACTAGGATTGAGGGTTATCAACCCAAGGGGGCAATAACAAGGACAATTCGGGTACCTTTATTCTTAGATCTGAAACCTTGCATATAATAAACCCTAAAAACTCTTCCGATCTGAAGTCATGCCGAAATTTTGTCCAAAATAGGTGTACACACAGGAGAAATGAATTCTAACTTTCCTGTTAATTTTTTTTTTTACTGATTAAATTACATGTAAATTTAAATTATTTAAATTATGAAAAAGCATGTTTAAATAAAGATATTTAGGTAGATATTATTGTTAAATTCTTTATTATGTAAACTAATTCATTTCTTTTTGTGTGTTCTTTATTTTTTTATTTTGCATAGCATCATACAGGATAAAAGGAATTGATCCTCGTGTTAATTGTCTCATTGGAAAGCCTTCATCCATGGATAAAAAGTGTTCAAATCAAATAATTCTAAACTCAGAAGTAAGACAGTGGGTTGAGGACTTACAAAGACAAGAAGGAGACAGTCTGCAGGATGATTATGTATCTGACTTGGCCAGTTATGCTCCAGTTTCGCTAAAAAGAAATGATATGCAAGATTTGCGAAGCATTTGGGAAAGTTGGGATTCAAACAAAAAATTGCAGTTTTATCAGACTTATGGAGACATCCCATATTTACTCTATGTCGAAGTTGATGATGAATTACTCAGAGCCCTAATTCAATTCTGGAATCCAGGGTACAATTGCTTTACTCTCAATAAGGAGGACTTGGTCCCTACTATTGAAGAGTACACAACTTTGCTACATATAGAAGGGGCTTTGGAGAATCGAATCTATTCAAAGTCAATTAAAACTCAACCCTTTCGAGTTAAATTAGCAAAGATTGCCGGGGGTACGAGAAGAATGGGTGGCATCCCGTACAAAACAAAAAGGCGAAAGCGAAGGCATTGCTTGGACCAACATTAAAGAACTTATTCAGAGTCATCCAGACACTAAAGTATGATTCGATCTATTTGCTCTGGGTATGTATGGTATGGTCATCTTCCCAAAAGTATTGGGATATGTTGAAGCTACAGTGGTAGATTTGTTTGAACAGCTACCGAAAAAGATTAATCCTGCTTCTGCAATTCTAGCAGAGACCTTCAGATCGTTAAATGCTTGTAGAAAGCTAGGAGGTGGACGATTCTCAGGATGTACCCAGTTGTTATATGTTTGGGTCCGTAGCCATTTCTGGAAGACAGAAAAGGTTTCATACCGACGATTTAATACGGATTACTCACCATTAAAAGAATTTCTGGAGCAAGAATGGCCGAAAGAAATTAAGAAAGATATGTGGATTAATGCCTTTCGAAATCTGCAAAGCAATGACATAGTTTGGCGAGCCCCGTGGCAAATTCAAAGGGAATTCTTTTACAAATGTGGAGATTACAATTGGATAATGCTACTCGGATTATGGGGAGGAATTGGATATGCACCACTTCTGGTCATAAGACAGTATGAAGGTCGTCAATTTGTACCTGTCACCACTGGATTACATTCATCTGAGTTCGCATTCTACAGCAAAAATTATAAAAGAAATATCATGGAAGCCGTTACAGCTTGGAAAACAACTTTTTATCCGAGCTAAAGCAGCAAAAGAAATGCTAACTCCTGATTATGAGGAATGGAGATCTGTCAGGAAAAATGAAAATATTCCTCTACCAGATCAAAATGAGGATATCTCTATGGAAGATCGCATTAAGGTGGTTCCATTAGAGATTGAAATCCTGAAAGCTGAGTTTGAAGCAGAAAGAGAAGGCTGGTCAAGAGAATTTGAGCAAATGAGATGAGATAAAGCTATGTTGGGTGTTGATATTGA